TCAAGTCTTTTGTAGTTTTTGTAGTGTATTTGTAGTGTTTTTGTAGTTTTTTGTAGTTTTTGTAGTTTTTGTAGTCTTTTGTAGTTTTTGTAGTCTTTTGTGGTTTTTTTGTAGTGTTTTTGTAGTGTTTAATAGTGTTTTGTAGTGTTTAATAGTCTTTTGTAGTGTTTTGTAGTGTTTAATAGTCTTTTGTAGTGTTTTGTAGTGTTTTAGTAGTGTTTAATAGTCTTTTGTAGTGTTTTGTAGTGTTTTAGTAGTGTTTAATAGTCTTTTGTAGTGTTTTGTAGTGTTTAATAGTCTTTTGCAGTGTTTAATAGTCTTTTGTAGTGTTTTGTAGTGTTTAATAGTCTTTTGTAGTGTTTAATAGTCTTTTGTAGTGTTTTAGTAGTGTTTTTGTAGTGTTTTGTAGTTTTTGTAGTCTTTTGTAGTTTTTGTAGTCTTTTGTAGTGTTTTTGTAGTGTTTTGTAGTGTTTTTGTAGTGTTTTGTAGTTTTTGTAGTGTTTTTGTAGTTTTTTGTAGTTTTTGTAGTTTTTGTAGTCTTTTGTAGTCTTTTGTAGTGTTTTGTAGTGTTTTGTAGTGTTTTGTAGTTTTTGTAGTGTTTTTGTAGTGTTTTGTAGTTTTTGTAGTCTTTTGTAGTGTTTTGTAGTTTTTGTAGTCTTTTGTAGTGTTTTTGTAGTTTTTTGTAGTTTTTGTAGTCTTTTGTAGTTTTTGTAGTCGTTTGTAGTTTTTGTAGTTTTTTGTAGTTTTTGTAGTCTTTTGTAGTGTTTTGTAGTGTTTTTGTAGTTTTTTGTAGTTTTTGTAGTCTTTTGTAGTTTTTGTAGTCGTTTGTAGTTTTTGTAGTTTTTTGTAGTTTTTGTAGTCTTTTGTAGTTTTTGTAGTCGTTTGTAGTTTTTGTAGTTTTTTGTAGTTTTTGTAGTCTTTTGTAGTGTTTTGTAGTGTTTTTGTAGTTTTTTGTAGTTTTTGTAGTCTTTTGTAGTTTTTGTAGTCGTTTGTAGTGTTTTGTAGTTTTTGTAGTTTTTGTAGTCTTTTGTAGTTTTTTGTAGTTTTTGTAGTCTTTTGTAGTTGTTGTAGTCTTTTGTAGTTTTTGTAGTGTTTTGTAGTTGTTGCAGTGTTTTGTAGTTTTTGTAGTCTTTTGTAGTTTTTGTAGTGTTTTGTAGTTTTTGTAGTCTTTTGTAGTTTTTGTAGTCGTTTGTAGTGTTTTGTAGTTTTTGTAGTCTTTTGTAGTTTTTGTAGTCGTTTGTAGTGTTTTGTAGTGTTTTGTAGTTGTTGTAGTCTTTTGTAGTTTTTGTAGTCGTTTGTAGTCTTATGTAGTGTTTTGTAGTTTTTGTAGTGTTTTTGTAGTGTTTTGTAGTCTTTTGTAGTCTTTTGTAGTGTTTTTGTAGTCTTTTGTAGTCTTTTGTAGTGTATTGTAGTTTTTGTAGTCTTTTGTAGTCTTTTGTAGTGTTTTTGTAGTCTTTTGTAGTTTTTGTAGTCTTTTGTAGTCTTTTGTAGTGTTTTGTAGTTTTTGTAGTGTTTGTAGTCTTTTGTAGTCTTTTGTAGTGTTTTGTAGTTTTTTGTAGTTTTTGTAGTTTTTGTAGTGTTTTTGTAGTTTTTTGTAGTTTTTGTAGTCTTTTGTAGTCTTTTGTAGTGTTTTTGTAGTTTTTTGTAGTCTTTTGCAGTCTTTTGTAGTTTTTGTAGTCGTTTGTAGTCTTATGTAGTGTTTTTGTAGTGTTTTTGTAGTTTTTGTAGTCGTTTGTAGTCTTTTGTAGTGTTTTTGTAGTGTTTTTGCAGTGTTTTTGTAGTCTTTTGTAGTTTTTGTAGTCGTTTGTAGTCTTTTGTAGTGTTTTTGTAGTGTTTTGTAGTTTTTGTAGTCTTTTGTAGTTTTTGTAGTCGTTTGTAGTCTTATGTAGTGTTTTGTAGTTTTTGTAGTCTTTTGTAGTGTTTTTGCAGTGTTTTTGAAGTCTTTTGTAGTTTTTGTAGTCTTTTGTAGTCTTTTGTAGTGTTTTTGTAGTGTTTTTGTAGTTTTTGTAGTGTTTTTGCAGTGTTTTTGAAGTCTTTTGTAGTTTTTGTAGTGTTTTGTAGTCTTTTGTAGTGTTTTTGTAGTGTTTTTGTAGTGTTTTGTAGTTTTTGTAGTCTTTTGTAGTTTTTGTAGTGTTTTTGTAGTTTTTTGTAGTTTTTGTAGTCTTTTGTAGTTTTTGTAGTCGTTTGTAGTCTTATGTAGTGTTTTGTAGTTGTTGTAGTCTTTTGTAGTTTTTGTAGTGTTTTTGTAGTGTTTTGTAGTTTTTGTAGTCTTTTGCAGTCTTTTGTAGTGTTTTTGTAGTTTTTGTAGTCTTATGTAGTGTATTGTAGTTTTTGTAGTCTTTTGTAGTTTTTGTAGTGTTTTTGTAGTGTATTGTAGTTTTTGTAGTCTTTTGTAGTCTTATGTAGTGTTTTGTAGTCTTTTGTAGTCTTTTGTAGTGTTTTTGTAGTTTTTTGTAGTTTTTGTAGTCTTTTGCAGTCTTTTGTAGTGTTTTTGTAGTTTTTGTAGTCTTTTGTAGTCTTTTGTAGTGTTTTTGTAGTTTTTTGTAGTTTTTGTAGTCTTTTGTAGTCTTTTGTAGTGTTTTTGTAGTGTTTTTGTAGTTTTTGTAGTCGTTTGTAGTCTTTTGTAGTGTTTTTGTAGTGTTTTTGTAGTCTTTTGTAGTTTTTGTAGTCGTTTGTAGTCTTTTGCAGTGTTTTTGTAGTGTTTTTGTAGTGTTTTTGTAGTCTTTTGTAGTTTTTGTAGTCGTTTGTAGTCTTTTGCAGTGTTTTTGTAGTGTTTTGTAGTTTTTGTAGTCTTTTGTAGTTTTTGTAGTGTTTTTGTAGTTTTTTGTAGTTTTTGTAGTCTTTTGTAGTTTTTGTAGTCGTTTGTAGTCTTATGTAGTGTTTTGTAGTTTTTGTAGTCTTTTGTAGTGTTTTTGCAGTGTTTTTGAAGTCTTTTGTAGTTTTTGTAGTCTTTTGTAGTCTTTTGTAGTGTTTTTTGTAGTGTTTTTGTAGTTTTTGTAGTGTTTTTGCAGTGTTTTTGAAGTCTTTTGTAGTTTTTGTAGTCTTTTGTAGTTTTTGTAGTCTTTTGTAGTGTTTTGTAGTTTTTGTAGTCGTTTGTAGTCTTATGTAGTGTTTTGTAGTTTTTGTAGTCTTTTGTAGTTTTTGTAGTCTTTTGTAGTCTTTTGTAGTCTTTTGTAGTTTTTGTAGTCTTTTGTAGTCTTATGTAGTGTATTTGTAGTGTTTTGTAGTCGTTTGTAGTCTTATGTAGTGTATTGTAGTTTTTGTAGTCTTTTGTAGTCTTTTGTAGTGTTTTTGTAGTTTTTGTAGTTTTTGTAGTCTTTTGTAGTTTTTGTAGTCTTTTGTAGTCTTTTTTAGTCTTTTGTAGTGTTTTGTAGTGTTTTGTAGTGTTTTTGTAGTCGTTTGTAGTCTTATGTAGTGTTTTGTAGTTTTTGTAGTCTTTTGTAGATTTTGTAGTCTTTTGTAGTGTTTTTGTAGTCTTTTGTAGTCTTTTTTAGTCTTTTGTAGTGTTTTGTAGTGTTTTGTAGTGTTTTGTAGTCGTTTGTAGTCTTATGTAGTGTTTTGTAGTTTTTGTAGTCTTTTGTAGATTTTGTAGTCTTTTGTAGTGTTTTTGTAGTCTTTTGTAGTGTTTTTGTAGTCTTTTGTAGTCTTTTGTAGTCTTTTGTAGTGTTTTTGTAGTCTTTTGTAGTCTTTTGCAGTCTTTTGTAGTGTTTTTGTGGCCTTGGGGTATTGCTGCTATCTCTCTTCAGGAGGAGCAGCTCCTCGTTGTTGATGTTCATGACGGAGCACAAGCTGACCTGAGATAGTTTATTGTTTGTGGACGTCTGGGAGTCCTTCTTATCGTAAGTCCCACTGGCGTACAGTCTTTGCCCATGGAGGACAGTTTGAGTCACATTCAGTGCCGTGTTTGTTGAGTCTTGTGAATGAAGAGTGTGGATTATACACTGAACTACAGAAGAGATCTCACACACAGTCACTTCCTGTTTAGTCGCATTGTGTAAGTAATCCATGGCTTTGTGCCATAGAGCCAGTTCAGTGACATTTGATTAATAATGTATTTAAGATAATCCTAATGAAGGCTCGTTAGAGATCATGGCGCTCTTTAAACAAATCCTCTCTGATCAGACGGTTCACATTTACATCCGGAGGCTGAGCGGAGGGAAATGAACTCTTCAACCCGCAGACATTTACATTTCAGCCAGCCGTGAAACCAGAGCAGGTCTTTAGCAAAAGCACAAATAACACAAATGATATGAAGTATAAAACAGAGGCAGTAATGTGAATTTACTCATTATTATAAAGTTTACTGTTAGTCTATATAATATAGTTTGGTCAGTGTATTATCATTATGACAATAGGAGCATGAGTTTAACATGTTGATGTCACTCAGGAGACATCCAATGGAGGCATTTCATTGGAGAGGAGGAGGGGGGGGATTCTAACAGCTAAACAGCACTAGGGACTGTCACAGGTCGTTATTGTCTACAGCGTAAAAGGGAAGTAACAACATAAAAAACTAACAAGTCATGATTTTGAAATGTTCAGTAAAAGGTCAGAAGTTCAGCAGAAAACAGAGATGTTCAGATAAAAGTTCTGAGAAGTTCTTGAAATAGACGGAGGAGGTAGGATTTGTTAAATCTGAAGAACCTCTGGAGCTGTGAGAAGACACCTAAAGCTTTGTTTGAGTTCTCATAAAATACTGGGATGATGAAGAGAGTTTATTTTAATGTTTGTATTTGTATTTTATTTTAATATTTATTTAATTGATTGATTGATTTATTAATTAATTTATGTATTTGTTCTCACTGTTTTCCCCTGACCTGTGGTCCACACTCCAGCACAGTAGGGCGCGGTAATGTACCTTCAACGCCAGGTGTCCCCCGCCATTAAACATTGCCTCACTCGTTTTATTTTGAAAGACCTGCAGGAAGGAAGTTCGCCTGTGTTCGCGCGAACCTGACGAACAGACTTCGCTAACTCCCCTGTTTCCGTGAGAGCCGGCAGTTCCTCTCTGATCCCGGGTTCAGTTCGCTACCGGACGAACTGCCGTTAAAACTGAACCAAGACGAAAAGAGGAACCTCTGAAGTTCTGTCTGCGGACCGTGGAGGAGGCGGAGGTAACGGTGAGTTTACTAACAGGTCAGGGATTTTAAAACGTTCTGCAGGCTTCTGTAGAGCTGCCACAACAAAGCTCAGGGGCTTTAAAACGTTCTGCAGACTTCTGTAGAGCGACCACAACACAGCAGAGGATGCATCTTTCGTTTAGTAGGAGTAGTGCGAAAAAGTATTGACATGTGAGGAAAAGTAAAAACGACATTCTTACTTTTGACTTCAGAGTTCTGAAGAAAAGGTTTTATCTGAATTTCATTTTTTGTTTTTATTTAAAAAAAATATTTATTACTTTCATTTTTTTTCTGAAAATGCATTTCTGAATAGGATTTTGTCGGATTAGAGTTTTTCTTGAAAATCTCAGAATTCAAGTCAAAACATCCCGAGATGTGCGTTGGTGGCCTCCAGCCTCTTCCTTAGCAGAGGAGGCGTTTCATTGTTCTGTCTGAGAGGCCCCGTCTACACAGAGACGAAAACGAACCGAAGTCGATATCAAGAAAGTCTTCCGTCCACACGCAATCGGCTCAAGAAACGTGTCTGTCCGCACGAGACCACTCGACCCGCTGGAGACGCTGTAGTACATATGCCGGGCCTGTAAGTGGCGCTGTACTTCCGCCACAAAATACACCAAAAGCAGTGAATAAGACCTGGCCCCGAGCATGGTTGCCATGGTTGCCCTTCTGTTTATTCTCCGCGGTGGATTTAGCAACAGGTAGTTCATGTAGTTCTCCATGTCCACTTGTTGCCGATGGCTGTGGTAGAGGAGCTGTAGATTTTGCACTAACATCTGTATCATGGTCAGTAGCGTCTGGAGCACGAACGCAACCCTGTGATCCGCCACTGTTCTTGTTGTTGTTGTTGTTGGCAAAACGCATCAGCAATGACGCGGGTGACACAGGGTGAGCATGAGAGGCGGGGCTATGATCGTTTAGGGCGTACACATGGAGCCGCAAACGTTTCGTTACCAGACCTTCCCACTTTGGGATGCGTTACCGTTTCAGGGCTCCGTTACCACGGCTCCGTTACGGCCTCGTGTGGACGAACCGTCCATAGGATACAGAACTATAGCGGATAATGTTATGGCAATCTTTATTAAGGTCACATGGTAAGCTATATGATGTGTGTTACTGAGTTGGGTCACACAGAGTTAGAGAGACAATGGTCGTTCTGAATTATCAATAGATGTATTCATTTTAAGTGAGCTGACACCGAGGGTAGAGGAAGTTCAGAGAAGGCCTCAGGTTATAAAAACAGTTAACCGTTGTTAGTTAACTAATCCTAAAGATGTCATGAGATGATGACTTTTCAACATAAGTATAGCTTTCAGAGAGAAAAACATGTGACATTTGTGTGGTAGGCTGCATGATCAAATGTGTGTGCGTTAAACATGCTTAGGGAAAATGTGTGTGTGTTCATTGCAGTGGCTATATATGCTGTATGATTGTTGATACTGCGATTGGCTGCTGTGGCAGCAGGTGATGTACTCCCCATTATTGTTTGTTTGTTGCAACAACTAAATAATAATTGCTGATCAGCTATATCTGTGTTTGTGTTTTATTGATTCCTCTCTGTTTCATTCTTTCCTGTTGTGAGTGCTGAATTGCCACAACAATAACACCTGCTTCGTCTCCGTGTGGGCGGGGCCTAAAGTAAAAACTCTGATGAGGCCGGTCTCTAAATATAAATAAATAATATTATTATTAATAAATATTTGAAGCTCCCAGTTTCTCTCCTCTGTTCGGTCAGAGGTCTCCTCCTCACAGGAAGAGCAGTTTCTCTCCTCTGTTCGGTCAGAGGTCTCCTCCTCACAGGAAGAGCAGTTTCTCTCCTCTGTTCGGTCAGAGGTCTCCTCCTCACAGGAAGAGCAGTTTCTCTCCTCTGTTCGGTCAGAGGTCTCCTCCTCACAGGAAGAGCAGTTTCTCTCCTCTGTTCGGTCAGAGGTCTCCTCCTCACAGGAAGAGCAGTTTCTCTGTTTGGTCTGAGGTCTCCTCCTCACAGGAAGAGGCAGACCACCTCCATATATGGGTATGATGGGATTAGCTTTTTAAAATCTTTACATATTATTATTTGGTGTTGTTTTTTGTTGTTTTGTTTCTTTCCGTAAACCGTCAAGTGGGAAATAAGTATTTTTTGTGTTTCTCTTAGTATCCTAAGACACTGTTATGTTATGTTTGGCTGTGAAAAAAAGAAAAAAAAGAAAGAAAATGTATTATGAAGGGCAGACCATCTATTTCTATTTATTTTTATTTTTTTTAGAAAGGGGCAGGTCATATAAGATTTTTTTCTTCTCCCTGCTCCTTTTCGCTCAATGGTGTGTTGTAGAGACATGTTTTGTTGGCAATTATTGTACATTGAGTTTCGCGTACCATGAGCGGGACAAATAAAAACTAGAGAATGCAATTCCTGAGGAAATTGCTAGTGGGAATGCTTTATGCTGAAAAGCTGACGCTAAACTGCTATGCTGAAATGTAATGTGTAAGAAGAAAGTGAAGAATTTAGATTGAAATGATACATGAACACTGGGGGCTTGAATGTGTGATGAGAGAAGAAAAGAAAGTAAAAAAGCTTGGAAAAGCAGCAGAATATTTGAACTGCAAACTTTTTAACTAACTTGATGGCGAATGATCTGTCGCCATGCCAACGGCATTTGATGACATCCCATAATACGCTTAGATGCGTTGATGGCTGCATCGTTACCAAACCTGTGAAGTTTTGGGCCATTTGGAGCATTTTCACTGAAGATATGAGAAAACCGTGTTTCATGGCGGGCATTGTGTTGCCATGGCAACGGCATGTCCCGTAGATGTCTTCACGGCTGGACTGTTAGCACACATGTGAAGTTTGAGCACTTTTTGAACATTTTCATAGGAGTTATAGCGACATCGTCTTTTATGGCGAGGGATGCGTTTCCATGGAAACGGCATATGGTGAGATCTCAGATTTGGCGTAGAGCTGTTGAGGCATGGACCGGTGATATACAAGTGAAGATTGGGGGACGATCGGACCGTGTCCATTGGACTTACAGCGACATTGTGTTTCATGGCGAGTGGTCTGTCGCCATGGCAACGGCATTTGATGACACCCCATAATACGCTTAGATGCGTTGATGGCTGCATCGTTACCAAACCTGTGAAGTTTTGGGCCGTTTGGAGCATTTTCACTGAAGTTTTGAGAAAACCGTGTTTCATGGCGAGCATTGTGTTGCCATGGCAACGGCATTTGAAGAAACCCCATAATTGACGTAGAGCTGTTGAGGGCTGGACCGGTGATATACAAGCGAAGTTTGGGGGACGATCGGACCGTGTCCATTGGACTTACAGCGACATCGTGGTCTTTCGCCATGGCAACGGCATTTGATGACACCCCATAATACGCTTAGATGCGTTGATGGCTGCATCGTTACCAAACCTGTCAATGTGACATCATCGTGTTCCATGACACAGGTGTTTATATTTGAGCTAACGACGACAGCTGTGTGTCCCCAATAATGTATAAAATAGGTGGAACATGTTGAAGTCAGTATGAAGTCTCCATCAGACAGAAAAGAATAGGCTCAGACAGTCTGTTAAACTCCAGTGACCACGTCGTTAGCTCAAACACGAACACCTGTGTGTTATGACATCATCGTGTTCCATTACACAGGTGTTTATAGTTGAGCTAACGAGCTCTGTAGAGATGAAAGGTTTGCATTGTTCTGAATGAGAGATAAACCTCTTACATGTGAACGTTTTGTGGAAGAACGATAACAGATATCTGTGAAATTTCAAAACGTGAAGCATGTCAAGGAAGTTGAGTATCTGAAGTGTAATTTTTGTGTACTTTCGGGTTAATAATGTGGCCTTTTTGGCAGTTTAAGAAAGGTGTGCGGCTGCTGCTGTGAGGAAATATCTGCCTGAAATTACAATGGGCTTTAATGGAGACATGTTGAACGTTTTTGTCACTTCATGCCCTCAAGAGGCATTTTGTTTAATTATTTTGCTTAATTATTTGTCGTTTTTCAAGCTACGAGATGTTTTCCTACGTTTGTCATGAAAAATGATGTCTCAGGAATGTAGGGTTTGGGAATTATGGCAGTTTAAAAAAATAATAAGGCACATTTCAAGATTTCCTCCACTGTGACATCACGCACTCTAGTTAATGTTAAAATCTGAAGAAAACTTCTTTACCAAGGTCTGAACAATGTTTAATATCTCTAAAAGTAAGAATCAGATTTAAAAGTTGTGTTACACGAATAATGTCAGAAAGATGTGTAACATTATGAGGTTTCTGAGTGAAAGTATGAATGAACAGTTAGCAGTTGAAGTCGCATGAAGATTTGTTGAAGTCTGAAGAATTTCTCCATTGACTTCAATGGTTAAAAATGTGATGTATTATGGGATGTATCTCTGGAATTATGAAAGTTATGAATGATAAAAGTAATAGCCATCGATTCCCGACCGAGCTGAACATTTTGATGTTTGAAAGGAGTTTCTGCGATGTTGAATGTGGGAGGAGAAGACGGACAAAATAATTGGATGGAATAATAATAAGAATTTTGTCCGTAGCATAACATATAGTGGGAATGCTGTATCAGCATTCCCACTAAATTACCCGGCGGCAAACATTTTTTCCATGGAATGCTCTTAACATCCCGATAGCAATGAATATTGCTTTGACAAAAAATCCATAAAAAAAATGTCATCTTTGGAAGCCGTGGTACTGTAAAAAGCACGACCAATCATTTTAGCCGGGGCTAAAATGATTGGATGGCCTACCTGCCTGTCAGCCTTCCATCTGTGCACAAACTTATCTTGTGCCCTCATTGGTCATGTGCGCGTTCGGGTGTTGGAGGAGGGGCTCTATCACTCTGTCACCCTGTCACCCTGTCTCTCTGTCACCCTGTCACCCTGTCACCCTGTCACCCTGTCACTCTGTCACCCTGTCACCCTGTCTCTCTGTCACTCTGTCTCTCTGTCACCCTGTCACCCTGTCACCCTGTCTCTCTGTCACTCTGTCACCCTGTCACCCTGTCACCCTGTCACCCTGTCACCCTGTCACCCTGTCACCCTGTCACCCTGTCTCTCTGTCACCCTGTCACCCTCTCACCCTGTCACTCTCTCACCCTGTCTCTCTGTCTCTCTGTCACTCTGTCACTCTGTCACTCTGTCTCTCTGTCTCTCTGTCACTCTGTCACTCTGTCACTCTGTCTCTCTGTCTCTCTGTCACCCTGTCTCCCTGTCACCCTGTCACCCTGTCACTCTGTCACTCTGTCACTCTGTCTCCCTGTCACCCTGTCACCCTGTCACCCTGTCACTCTGTCACTCTGTCACTCTGTCTCTCTGTCACTCTGTCACTCTGTCACTCTATTGTGTCTTTATTTGTACCCTGTGTGAATCCTGTTTCTAACTCTTGCTGCTCTAAACGCCTGCATTGTGTCTCTCCCCCAGGACATGGAGGACATGGAGGACATGGAGACGTCGGCAGGTTTCAGTCAGCAGGTAACAGGAACTTTGATGGAGTGAGAGAGACCAGGTGTGGCTGAGATGAGGGAGGTATTGATCTCCCCTCACGTAGAGAGACCAGGTGTGGCTGAGATGAGGGAGGTATTGATCTCCCCTCACGTAGAGAGAGACCAGGTGTGGCTGAGATGAGGGAGGTATTGATCTCCCCTCACGTAGAGAGAGACCAGGTGTGGCTGAGATGAGGGAGGTATTGATCTCCCCTCACGTAGAGAGAGACCAGGTGTGGCTGAGATGAGGGAGGTATTGATCTCCCCTCACGTAGAGAGAGACCAGGTGTGGCTGAGATGAGGGAGGTATTGATCTCCCGAGGTGTTGCTGTTTCATGTTGCTGCTGCTTGCCTGCCCCCCCACCACCCCAGCTTCCACCTGTAGGCTCGGGTGTTAGTTATCTAATCATCACTCAATGTGCTATGTATATCTGTGGAGTGATGAGATGCCAAACTCAAACTATATGCTGCTTCTAATAAACATATTAAGAAACACGTGAGTTGTCTGACTGAACTAAAAGTATTTCAACCTTTTTATCCCAAATATCACAACTTCTTTTTCCTATTTCTACAATTATTTTTTGAAATATTACAACTTTTATTTTTGCAAATATTAAGAATAGAAAAAATAAATAAAATCTAGAAAAAATAAAAACTTAATTAATATAAAATATATATTTCCACCATGTTCTCAATAAATACATTTCCCAAATATCAGAAATTCGTTTTGGTTTCCTCCTAAAATTAAGATGTTTTAATTCAAATGTATACGACTTTAGTGTTTGCAAATATTCCGACCTTTTAAAGAAAATATTAAAAAGAGATCTAAATAACACAGCTTATTTTTACCAAATATTTAAATATTTCTTTATTGTATATAATGCCTCCCAAACGTTGGTCAGTATTTGTCGTTGTGTCCTCAGTGCAGCAGCTGTGACTCGCCCTCGGCCAGATGCTGGTGTGTGGACTGCAACGAGGCTCTGTGCGATGTGTGTGTGTCGGCACACCGTCGAGTCTCCGTCACCAGGACACACCACCTGCTCAACCACCCCCCCCCCCACAGGTAGGTCCCCACACACACACACACACACACACACACACACACACACACACACACACCCTTTAAACCTGTCGCCCCCCCTCCAGGAGGCGTGTCCCCCCCCCCCCATCAAGTTCTGCAGGCTGCACCCCTCCGAGCCGCTCCAGCTGTTCTGCTTCACCTGCAAGGTGCTCACCTGTAGAGACTGCCAGCTCACTGCACACATGAACCACAGGTACACACACACATATACCCACACACATGAACCACTGGTACACACACATACACACACACACACACACATGAACCACAGGTACACACACACACACACACACACACAAATCACAGGTACACACATACACACATACACACACACACATGAATCACAGGTACACACACACACACACATGATCCACAGGTACACATATACACACATACACACACACATGATCCACAGGTACACACACACACACATGAATCACAGGGATACACACACACACACATGAATCACAGGTACACACATACACACACACATGAATCACAGGTACACACATACACACACACACACACACACACATGAATCACAGGTACACACACACACACATGAATCACAGGTACACACACATACACACACACACATGAATCACAGGTACACACACATACACACACACACATGAATCACAGGTACACACACATACACATGAATCACAGGTACACACATACACACACACATGAATCACAGGTACACACACATACACACACACACATACACATGAATCACAGGTACACACATACACACACACACATGAATCACAGGTACACACACATACACACACACATGAATCACAGGGACACACATACACACACACACACATGAATCACAGATACACACACACACATGAATCACAGATACACACATACACATACACATACACACATACACATATACATATACATACACACACACACCTGAATCACAGGTACAGGTTGGAGGAAAATCTGGGTCTGGGCCAGTTAAACCTCCTCCACACTATCCCATCACATTATAGCAGGTTCAGAAGCTGGAGGCAGACAGAGTTCGATGCAATATAACTTTTATTACGTCAAAAGACATAAATCAAAGAGCGAGCAGACCCCAGTACAGCTAAACAAACGTTGTTCTTGCACCTTTATAGCAAAGCCTTCTTGTTCCTTATCGGTTGACCTTGGTGAAGGACGGCAAACCACCTCCCAGTTTCTTTGTCTGAAACTTTTTCTGCAGACGTGCATTTATCTACACTTCCGCACTCGTGTCCTGGTGGCTTCCCGTCACATTGACCGCTTCCTGACCTCCACCAAGTTTCACCATCAAGTGAGGGGAGTTTCACCACTGCTCTCTTTCCCAGTTCTAACCTCGCATCTCATTAGCTTCAGGCACTGTGAATAATAATCAACCTTAACCTAAAAGTGCCCTTTTTGTTCAACCTCACACACACACACACACACACACACACACACACACTCTCTCTCTCTCTCTCTGAGAGACCTGTATACAGACATGTGCACTAGCCTTAGCAGCAGAGTCCACTCCTCTCCTCCACATGAAGTCAGGGTTCGAGTTATAAACTGAGCTCTATGGGGGTCTTTAAAACTAACGCGCACGCACGCGCTAGTACATGTACATGTATTAACTCTCCATGTAGATGTATTAACTCTGCATGTAGATGTATTAACTCTGCATGTACATGTATTAACTCTGCATGTAGATCATAAACTCACCTGTGTGTTATATCATAAACTCACCTGCTCAGGTATCAGTTTGTGAGCGAGGCGCTGGAATCTCTGAAGAAGCAGCTGGAGGTCAGGGTTCAGCCAATCAGAGCATGGGGAGTGAGAGTGGGGCGGAGCCTGCAGGACATGGAGTCCAGGTAACATGTTGTCTCAATAATTAGAGAAATACTATAATATGATTAATGATGTTAAATATAACAACGTTTCTTATTTCAGACATCATGACTTCTATCAGACATCATGACTTCTATCAGACATCATGACTTCTATCAGACATCATGACTTCTATCAGACATCATGACTTCTATCAGACATCACAACTTCTATCAGACATCACGACTTCTATCAGACATCACGACTTCTATCAGACATCATGACTTCTATCATCATGACTTCTATTAGACATCATGACTTCTATCAGACATCATGACTTCTATCAGACATCATGACTTCTATCATCATGACTTCTATCAGACATCACGACTTCTATCATCATGACTTCTATCAGACATCATGACTTCTATCATCATGACTTCTATCAGACATCATGACTTCTATCAGACATGACTTCTATCATCATGACTTCTATCAGACATCATGACTTCTATCATCATGACTTCTATCAGACATCATGACTTCTATCATCATGACTTCTATCAGACATCATGACTTCTATCATCATGACTTCTATCAGACATCATGACTTCTATCAGACATCATGACTTCTATCATCATGACTTCTATCAGACATCATGACTTCTATCATCATGACTTCTATCAGACATCATGACTTCTATCAGACATCATGACTTCTATCATCATGACTTCTATCAGACATCATGACTTCTATCAGACATCATGACTTCTATCAGACATCATGACTTCTATCATCATGACTTCTATCAGACATCATGACTTCTATCATCATGACTTCTATCAGACATCATGACTTCTATCATCATGACTTCTATCAGACATCATGACTTCTATCATCATGAACTTCTATCAGACTCATGACTTCTATCAGACATCAATGACTTCTATCATCATGACTTCTATCAGACATCATGACTTCTATCAAATCATGACTTCTATCCATCATGACTTCTATCAGACATCATGACTTCTATCAGAATCATGACTTCTATCATATGACTTCTATCAGACATCATGACTTCTATCAGACATCATGACTTCTATCAGACTCATACTTCCTATCATCATGACTTCTATCAGACATCATGACTTCTATCAGACATCACGACTTCTATCATCATGACTTCTATCAGACATCATGACTTCTATCATCATGACTTCTATCAGACATCATGACTTCTATCATCATGACTCCTATCAGACATCACGACTTCTATCAGACATCACGACTTCTATCAGACATCACGACTTCTATCAGACATCACGACTTCTATCAGACATCACGACTTCTATCAGACATTATGACTTCTATCAGACATCATGACTTCTATCAGACATTATGACTTCTATCAGACATTATGACTTCTATCAGACATCACGACTTCTATCAGACATCACGACTTCTATCAGACATCACGACTTCTATCAGACATCACGACTTCTATCAGACATCACGACTTCTATCATCATGACTTCTATCATCATGACTTCTATCAGACATCATGACTTCTATCAGACATCATGACTTCTATCAGACATCACGACTTCTATCAGACATCACGACTTCTATCAGACATCACGACTTCTATCAGACATCACGACTTCTATCAGACATTATGACTTCTATCAGACATCACGACTTCTATCAGACATCACGACTTCTATCAGACATCACGACTTCTATCAGACATTATGACTTCGATCAGACATCATGACTTCTATCATCATGACTTCTATCAGACATTATGACTTCTATCATCACGACTTCTATCAGACATCACGACTTCTATCAGACATCATGACTTCTATCAGACATCACGACTTCTATCATCATGACTTCTATCAGACATCATGACTTCTATCATCCTGACTTCTATCATCATGACTTCTATCATCATGACTTCTATCATCATGACTTCTATCAGACATCATGACTTCTATCATCATGACTTCTATCAGACATCATGACTTCTATCAGACATCATGACTTCTATCAGACATCATGACTTCTATCATCATGACTTCTATCAGACATCATGACTTCTATCAGACATCATGACTTCTATCAGACATTATGACTTCTATCATCATGACTTCTATCAGACATCATGACTTCTACCAGACATCACGACTTCTATCATCATGACTTCTATCAGACATCGTGACTTCTATCAGACATCATGACTTCTATCATCATGACTTCTATCAGACATCATGACTTCTATCAGACATCGTGACATCTATCAGACATCGTGACTTCTATCAGACATCGTGACTTCTATCAGACATCGTGACTTCTATCAGACATCGTGACTTCTATCATCTTGACTTCTATCATCATGACTTCTATCATCTTGACTTCTATCATCATGACTTCTATCATCATGACTTCTATCAGACATCACGACTTCTATCATCATGACTTCTATCAGACATCATGACTTCTATCAGACATCACGACTTCTATCAGACATCATGACTTCTATCATCTTGACTTCTATCATCATGACTTCTATCAGACATCATGACTTCTATCAGACATCATGACTTCTATCAGACATCATGACTTCTATCATCATGACTTCTATCAGACATCATGACTTCTATCAGACATCATGACTTCTATCAGACATCATGACTTCTATCAGACATCATGACTTCTATCATCATGACTTCTATCAGACATCATGACTTCTATCAGACATCATGACTTCTATCAGACATTATGACTTCTATCAGACATCATGACTTCTATCAGACATTATGACTTCTATCTGACATCATGACTTCTATCAGACATCATGACTTCTATCAGACATTATGACTTCTATCATCATGACTTCTATCAGACATCATGACTTCTATCAGACATTATGACTTCTATCATCATGACTTCTATCAGACATCACGACTTCTATCAGACATCATGACTTCTATCAGACATCATGACTTCTATCATCATGACTTATATCATCATGACTTCTATCAGACATCACGACTTCTATCATCATGACTTCTATCAGACATCACGACTTCTATCATCATGACTTCT